CCCCCCCCCCCCACCCCTTTTTTTTGTCTTGCGCAGGAGGTGGAAGACAAAAATATGGGGAGTGAGGATGGGCATTTACAGAATCAATTGTCGGTTAATTATGTCGTTTAGTACACTTGGTTAATTAAAAAATGTGTAATTAAGCCTTAATGATGGTCGAATGATTTAAAAAGTAATCTCAAGGGGTATAATCTTATGGCATTGGTTTATCATTGCAGTGTTAGGTAGGATAAGAACTGATTTGATTAAAAAAAAACAAGTTTGGAAATGTAAAACATGTTATACTAATACCGTCGCGTGTCTAAAGTTTAACAAAAAATGACAAAATAATAACAGAGCGATATCAGGCAACAGAGTTAGAATGGACTGAGGTTAGTGGTGCTTGATCCAAATTGACCAAATATTATTGTTAAACACTCTAAATTGGCAATTTCTCATTATCATAAACTAACCTATTTTGGGGCCTAAATCTTCCAAAACGTAGTTTTAGTCAACTCAAACGAAAACATTCCAAAAATAATACGAAATTATAATAGTAACAGAGAACATTAAAAAATATTCTTAAAACACCAGACAATATTTCAAAACAACCCCAAAATACCTTGAAATATAAGAACTATATTTATTTTAGTTTTTCATGGAAACAAAAATGTTTCAAAACCGTTCAAGTTTTCCCTAAAAGACAAGACTAAATCTCAAAAATGAATTAAACCTCATTCAGCTAATGGAATACATACATGAAAGAGTGGGTCATCCAGTCATTGCAAACTCTCATTTATTTCAATGCAACAATTAGAGTTATCAACAACTATCAGCCTCTAATCAGAGAAAGAATGATTAGTACATCGAAGCATAAATGACCACAACATCTAATGTTACATGAACAAACTCAATAAATCCACAAGGCCATCGACAATTGATAGATCTAACATAAAGGGCTGCCCAGTGCACACAATTTTCATCACTTTGGGGTTTGTAAAGTCAGATGTACACAGTCTTACTCCACTACGCATAGATGTTTTTGCGACCCAAACTCTTGATGATGCCCAGGTCACCAAGCAATCTTATCACTGCACCAAGGCCTACCCTTAACGAGCCTTACGAATGGACCTAATAATGTCTTTATGCTAAATGCATATGGAGATTAACAACACTGAAATCAGGATAAAAACTGCTATAATTAGAACTCGACTGAAAAGTGACGAATTTTGAAGTTAGACTGATCAGAAACATGGTAAATTCTCCATTGGCAAGAGAAAGTTGCACGTTGAGTACATGGATGCGGCTGCAGCCCTAACAGCCGAATCCCCTTCTAAATTATCTGCTTTCTCTAATCTGCATGACACGTAAGAACTTTTAAGTTTGAGGGCAATGTAGAGGACAAAAGAGTTTAAACTTCAATCTAATAAACTGGTAATCAAATACATTTTATGTTTTATGATGATTTCCTTCAATAGAAGTGAAATTTAACAATAGCTTAAAAGAATAACAATTGCAACAAAGTGTAAAGGATCATTCTATCTGCTCTTTTGTTTGCCTTTTCCTTTAGAAAATTGCACAACAATGCTATAAACCCAACATAGAATAATGATTAGTTCTTAGTTTCGAAATAGAGTCTCAACATGGTGGTGTACACCTAGCTCCACAGCGTAGCTAGTCACTGGATATAGGGCTACTATTTCACCGGACCGGGGGTGGCTGAAAAGTTTAGCTTAGCTCAAGGTAATGTATGTGCGGCAAGAGATAATCTACTTAGTGAATATAAATATACAATTATACTATATACACCTTACTATTGGTATTTATCTCCAAACTATTTGGAGTGTTTTTACATGCACACAGGGTTTACTTGTTTTCTTTAGAGCCCTTGTGTCACTCCTATTGTATCATAGATCATGTCAATGCAGAAAAAAATGAATGCATTTCCATACTATTAAATTTTAAGTGAACTAGATAAAGCATAATCATATGTTTTCTCTAATTCACTTATTCTATTCAATCATACAAAGCCCACCCATGTACAACATGTTTTGGATCTAATCATAGAAAAAAATTATTTCCTAAATATTCAGGTGATAAGCGGGTGTGTCTGCCACCACAATAACAAATACAGCGTTTGTTTTCTTCCAAATGAAATTAAAACTTTACCTGCAGCTACTTCCCAATGCAACCAGATGTTGCAAACCATAAGCTTCATTGTACTGGAAAAGGCCGCGTTCACAGTGCCATTGCATTTCTTTTACTTGATTCAACCAACTTTCCTGAAAATAATAATGGACAGAATGTTCAGATACCCTTGCAGTTGTTTCATGCTGTTTGTGGGTGGGGGAGGAAAGCAGAACAGAAACCTACTGCAGGACAGAAGCTAATTCTATACCACAGCGGAATGATGCAAACATATGTCTATACTCAAAGAAACATATTATATATTAAAGACTCAGCCCTTAGGTATCATCGCAGTATATGATAGTAAGTAGCAACGCTATTTCTATGTGGCATCTGTGCACAAGTGCCCTGATGCAAGAATTACTCAGATAAAAAAGTTCAGCTTGAAGATATTTTTAGCAGATTCTTAGATGGAAAATTGATCTGATTGAACATATGTTATCTAAACCTCCATGTTAGAAACGTTCTTAGTCTTATAACAGTTGGACATGGCCTATTGATTGATGGCAAAATGTACTTTCATCCTTATTATATGCCGAAATTCTCCTCTTCCTAAATAGTGTACGATGACAAAACTTTCTTCTGCACCACTCACCAATTGTTTCTCTTCTTTAGATAAAGCTTTTTCCATCTGATCAAATAGTGCACTCCATCTAGCTTGATGCATATCGGCCGCTGCACGAACAGAAAAATCAGTAGCAGAACTTTTTGTGCAATCTGGATCGGTGTCTTGGTTTGATGAGAATTCTCTTGACATTAGGAAAGCCAATTCTGTATGAATCACAGCTTGAACTCTCTTCTTACTACGTCGCAATGCTGCAAGAAAAAAAAGTACATTACCATGCCAATGTAGGGATTTATTTACTCCCAACAATCATCAGTTTATGTATTGAAAAATAAGGCAGTACCTGTCAGGCGTCCTTTGATGTCTTGATGAAGAAGTTTCAACCACTGGGAAGCCACATTTGCAGCTGAAAACCAAAAGTTCATATCAGCTTAAGGTATAATCTTTCTTAAAATTGCACAAAGACTCGGCTTCAATTTTATTATAACCCACATTTATTGCTCAACTTTCTTCTATGTAGAGTGTCCCATTTTCAAATCAATAACTACTTTGACTAGATCCGTCTAATGCAAAAATTATCTCTTTTAAGCTTGTCCTATGATTCTTTAAAATATACTTCAAATGATGTTCAACACCTACTAAAGCAAGGAATGATATGAAATATAATACTGAAAACCGACCTTTAACAGAAAGAGAAGTAACATTGTGAGAGTTGGAGTGTGGGGGATGAGTACTTTTACCAAAAACCCTTCTCTCGACCATGCAAAACTCACCATCCCCCTTGATAAGATCTGAGTTGGAAGATCCTGATTTATTAATTGACGTTGGACATCCACCAATCTGCTTGCTACCTGATAAACTACTGCACCCTTCATGATGGAAACTGAATCTGCTCATTCCAAAAGCATTCAAGTTCTCCAGGTCAATCTTCCTGTCACTAGATTCTTCCTTTCCACTCTTTGTCTGGACTAGCTGTTTGCTTCCTGCATTGTGGTTTTCAAGTTTTTCAGATCTCACTAGGGCCTCTATTATAGAATGAACCTGTTTACCATTTCTTACATGGTTTATGATTCCAGGGTTCAATCCATTGAGCAGTCCACTAGGAGCAGCAATCTTCGCAAACCTATTGATCTGTTCTCTCTTAGCAAGCTCCATCTTTTTCTTGAGCCCATAATCTTTATTTTTCCTCCCACGTGGCTTTGGCATTGGTACACCTCCATGAGAAGATGAGAGGAAACCATTTTGCTTCATCTCTTTCCAAATTCTCATTGGATCGTTTACCTCCAATGGACCAATTGAACTCGCACACTCTGAGTCATCTCCTGATTTCAGATTTTCACGATTTTTATTAGGATAAAATGTGTTATGGTTGACTGAGCTTGAAACATCTTCTGAATGGAGATCTAAGCCAAAACCTCTTGACTTAACATGATCAACATCGCCTTCTATCCTCTTCTTTCCAAATGAAGACAGCCTACTGGTGTTATCAATGCATTCAGGTGTATTCTCACCAGACAAATCATTAGCAACAGAAGCTTTGGCATTGAGATCAAGTGATCTGTGAGCAGGGGCCATAGCTTGCTGTAATGTGTCCCTTCCTAGTTCCCTTCCTAGTTGTCCTGCTTATGCAACATTTGAATTAGCGTTTTCAGTGTCCTAATTCCTAAGTAACTAGACATCTCAGTGTCAGAAATATGCTTTGCTCATACTTTACATAAGATGCTCACTTATAAATCTGATCAAATTAGAGCTGAAAATGAACCTTAGCCTCTTTGGTATTCGAGATTTTCGGTAATTGGTGTCGCCTGTGGCATTAATGGAAAAGTGTGGTGGTGGTTTAACATCACTGATTCAAAGTCCCCATTGAAAACCCAGAAAACCAAAAAATAAACAAAAAAACTTAGAATTATGAAGAAGAATCTTACGAAATTAAGGCAAAATGTGTAAAAAAAAATCAGCTTTTATGGTGTGGATATGTTAGAGAGCTAATCAGTGAATCATCAGTTCGTAAATACATAGAATGAAAAAACAATCGATTCATCACTTCGGCATTTTCTGAAAGATTGCTAAACTATTGAAACACCAAAACAAACAATGATACTTCAAATTTTGAGAAAAGAAATACCTATAGAACGAAACACAGAATCAAGATCTCTCATTTTCACTCGTTTACGACCAAGTTCTGATTCTTCTCCGCCTTCCACACTACCCCTTTTCTCCTCCACCATTACCCGATTGAGTATGTCAAAACCAAAAAAAGAAAGGATGAAAAGAAAATTTCTCTAAAAAAACCGTTCAATACAAGGATGAAATGGCCAAACCTTTGATTCAGATCTGGGTATCGCAAGAGAACAATCTGAAACACTTCCCGAACCGCATTCATCCTCCATTACTATACAACAAGATCAAACTGATGGGAGGACTGAGACAGATGTGGTAAGCAAAGGAGCTAAAGATAATAAGATATGGGTTTGTTTGTGTTTTGAGTATGTTTTGATTTGAAATATTGCAAAAGAGCGCGCTGTGACAAGCTTTTAATCTGGAGGCACAATATGACAAGTAGAACAACTTTGTGGGTTCCGTTTTCAAATTCAAATAAAATGGAAGGTAAATTACACCACCGAGCAGCTCGTCCGGTGCATAACAATTCGAATTTTCTCCTTTAATATTTGGATTTGAATGTCTATAATTATGATAATCCAACTTCGGTGGGTATAATCTCCTATAAATAGATATGTATTGATGAGCGGTAATGTTCTAACAATTTTTTTATATTTTAACTACAATTTTTTAATTATATTTTGTCCCTTTATTATAATTGTTAGAGGGAGAGTGAGAAAGAATTGAGAGAATAAAAAAAATGAACGAAAGAGTTGGGAAATAATAGGAAGGGGGAGAATATATTATAAATTATTTATATATAATATTACAGTGATGCTCTAAATATAAAACATCACTATAATCTACTCTAACTTCTTCTATTGAAGCATAATTTTTACCTTTGAATAACTAAATTTTAGATTTTTTTAGAGTTTTAACTGTTTTTTTCGAGATACAAGATGTTCTAATAGAATACTTTGAAAGTATGTATTTAAACTAGTGAAAAGCATGATAAACCCAAAAGGAAATAGAGTCAATCAAAAATTGGAGAATCTTATATAAGTTTTTACTCAAATTTGAGTCAGAAATCTAAGTAAAGAGCAGAGGTATTCAGATTAAGGTCTTGGATTTCTGGAATTCAACCTGTACTTGATCCAAATTCAACGCGACTTGAGTAAAACACAGTTTCAACCAAAAGAATGAAACCAATAATTAAACCCGAATTGAATTTGTATTTAAACCCAATTTTGGAAAGAATAGTATAAAATTTTAAGCATAAATAATACTATAATTGAAAATTTCGGGTTGAATTTGGGTTCAAATGGAAATGTTCTATAACTTGATTTTAGCTCCCTTTGATCACTAAAACCAGTCCAACGCAGAGCCTATCTTCAATGCAGTAACCAACAATCTTCAAGCTGAGACAAAGCACTCTCTGTGAAACTCTTAACCCTCACTAATACGAAATGGGTGCAGAACAACCCCAACCCACCCCCCACCCCAACCCTGCAAGTCTTCAACAAATAGCAAACTGGCTCACACTCCACCCCTCTCCCCTGTACAACCACTCCCCAAACCTTTGTCTCGTCCTCTTCTTCGTCATCCTCATTCAAAACCCTCCTGCCCACAAGCTGTTCAACAAAAATAATCCCATCAGGTGAAGGTTTTTTCCCCATCTGCCATTCACGCATCAATATCGACCAATCCTCTGAACTCGCCGCCTCTGTTTTCAACTTCATCTTCGACCCACTGTCTTCCGAGTAGACGTGAACCAACAATGGAGCTTCTTTCAAGTTCTTGACGACCTCCACCACTGAATCTCTCAGCCATTCGTCGAGATTCTCCGAAACCGTGATTTCCTCGTTTTTATCATCTTCTTTCACTGCAATTTTGAGGTAGGGTTCTAGATTGTTACGATAAGAAGAACAAACAGCGGAATTCGATGCGGTCAATGATGCAGAGACTCGTTGTCGGCTTTTCAATTGGGGATTTGAGATCGATAAAGAGTGATTGAATAAAGAAACCTGATTGAAGCGATCAATGCTGAAATGGGTTCCTTGATTGTAGACAAATGGGTGGCTTCCTCGGCAACGAATCCCCCCAAGAGACGCCATCCCAAGAGGTGGAGGTGAAGGAGAGACAGAGAGGTGAGTTTCAAACCGAGCTTTGGAAAATCGTTTTTCTTATGGGGATCTTGGATTCAAATCATATTGTTGATTGAGTACTACTTTGATGATTTATAAGGCTAATGAGCCAAATCAGAGGTTTGGTCGGAAGTGGAGAGGACGAGTGACCGCGTAGGAGAGAGTCCAGATTCAACAATGGCGTCTGACTACACGAGTCTTTTGGACTAATGACTACACGAGTCGAGATTCAACCATAGTCTTTTGGTCTTATAAGGGTCGTGTCCTGTGTTGCGACTGTCAGGCAAAAGATAAAACTTCGAATCTGCAACGAAACTCCTATAAGGGGGTGCTTTCTGTAATTTGCAACACATCGATATTAGAAGGACTCATTCTTTTGTTGAGTAAATTACACTTTACCTCTTGGACTATTACCTTTATTTTACTTTGCCTAAATTATAAAATTTATCACATTGGACTCTAAAATATCAATTTTATTTCATATTAATCCAACAAGCTTAAAAATCTATCAAAAGAAGAAGGAAAATCCCAAAGAGCTTCTCACCAAATGCATGGTCCCACTTTATTTTTACTTCTTTTGCAACTAAATGCTTGTTGAGAAGAAAAAAAAGATCGGTCAGAGGAAGAAAAATTGAAACTTAGGAAAAGTAGTCATGGATGAAATTTTTTTTGATTTTTCACCTGTACATGTGCAATAAACAATTGTTTATCGGTAGTACAAACTATTCACAAACTCATTTACCACCAAAAAATTGGTCGTCATTATCTATTGGAGTAATATGAAATAAAATTGATACTTTAGAGTATAATGTAAAAAATTTTATAGTTGAGCCCAAAAAGTAATGTAGAAGTAATAATTTAAGGGGTTAAAGTGTAATTTACCTTCTTTTGTTTGCAAATTGGCCCATGAGAAATTTTATAGTTGAGAATAAAAAATAAAATAAAAGTAATAAATTAAGAGGGTAAAGAGTAATTTGCCCTTCTTCTGTTTGCAAATTGACCCATTTGTTAACATCAATAATATTATTTAAATTTAATTTGTTGGACGGTATTATTTGATAATCTAATTCATGACGACTATTGATTTAATAATGAATTCTAAAAATAATTAGACTTATTATCAATTCACTGAAAATAAATAATTACGTTGATAAATTAAATATTGTAAGGAATAAACTGGGATGTAGCTAGCAGAAGATAATGACTTCTTTGAGGATCTTACTTCTGGTAACTTAAAAGAGTGGAATTATAGTTATGCAGACTATGCGTCTTTTGCTTTGAGCAAGAAATCATGTTCATTTCTCTTAGATTAGCCAGGAGGTATGAGGTTTGAATTTTGCCAGAGAAGAGGTGTGTACATGGTGGAAAAGGGTAGTCAATAGTCATTAAGGCCAAGTCTAAGAGCTGAATTCAATCCTCCCAGACGGCTTAGTATGAGGTTTGAAGTTTGCTAGAGACAGAAGTGTGTACAGAGAACGTGTTAAAGTGATAATTACTATAGATCTCATATGAGAGGTAGATCAATGTGGGAAAAAATCTGGTATTTCATAGGGGCTGAAACTTGAATGATACCTTACTTAAAATAAGGAATTAGTTGAATCAACACATGCATGCATGGTGGCTAGGGCAGTGCGTGTTGCATATTCAAAATAAGAGGTGAAAGAGACACAAGTACGAGGTTCATTACTTCTAGACTAGGGGATTCTTATAGGCCAATACGATTATTTGATTATGATGATTGCAATTGAAGCTCTCACTGGTGTGTCTAGTCAAGCTCAAAACAAGAGTTCCTCTTTTTCGGAAGAGTCACTATAACGGGGACTTCAAATAACGAATTCAGTTGCTGATGAGACTTCTGTTTAGGTTGTCGTCAATATGGTGGAAAAGCCTTGCCTTACAGCTAGATCTAAGATCTGAATTCGATTCTCACAAAACTTGCTTAGCGGCTTCCATTCCCTCAGGAGTGCACGATTAATAAAAGACTAAACTCGAATAAAAACCTAAGAGCTTCTCAGATTACTCAAGACAACTTTGTGCAGCACTCTTTAAAGTGAATGGCATCATGCCACCACTTACACTGCTTTTGCAATTAAGTAGTTTCTTCAGCACCAACAACTCATTGTACTGTTGTTATGATACAGTATAGATATCTCTCCATGGTGAGGTAGTTTTATTTGAAAATTGTGGTCCTTGTCCTTTACATGAAGTGATTGAATATGCTTAAACATATGATTTATGATGGACTATTGCCAGTAAACTTGCAGCACCAGCACATAAACGTTTTGAGAGTTGTGGTGATTAAGGAGATCAAGGGTTCACAGTCTGGGGTGCAGCTAGAGAATGAAGTGAGGGAACGATTAGCAGCGGTTGATAATTATGAAGATGAGGAGGAGACAGACAACCCTTGAGCAAGTCGTCGAGTTCTTCCAGTCGAAATATTTCAAGAAAATTTTTTGAAAATCTTGTTTGAAAAGTGGGAAAACATGCATATGATATTCTCATAATTCACCCCTCCTTTTCAAAAAACAACAAATCAAACAGTATTTTAAAGTTTTCTTATATTCAAAAACAAAAAATTTATTTTCAAGATACAAACCAAACATGCCCCCGACCTTTCAATACACTAAATGGTGCAGTAAGATTGAATCTTGTACCATGGTGGTGGTACTTGTGTCCTCATACGATGCAGCCGCCATGGCATCATATTTTAGTGGACAATTTGTGAAAAAAAGAGGGATAAAAATACACAGCTTCGTCTGAACTAGTCATGATCTAGGTTTGTTCCATTGCTTACTAGAAAATTCTCTTGCCAAAATTTTTTCCTATAGAAAAAAAGATTGGATGTAGATATGCATCAAAATTGGGTGGTCCAATGATGGATGATTAGTCTCAATCTCAACAAAGAGCTCCAGTAATTATCCATTTCAATGCTCTGATATTTTGTCAATTATCCAACTTGATATATTATTCTAATAGTAAAACCGCCATATGGGCTGATGAACCCGTAATGTAGAATAAGTAGCTATTGATTACTTAGAGCAAGAGGACTGCCGTGGGTCCAATGTCCAAAGAAAAGCAAAAAAATGATAGTACATAGTAGAGGCAATATGGCTCGGGCCAGTGGTGTTTGTCCTGGATCGGACCAACGAGCAAGATTTATTCCTTCGGCATCCCCTTTTTATGTTAATTAATTAGATCATAATTTTTTATTTTTGATAATTTTTGTATAATTAAGGATTTTACTTTTATTATGAGAACGATTAGGGTTTTAACCGTTCCTATATATATTCCCTTATGTACTATGAATTATTCATTTAATGATACACCTTTTTAAAGATATTCTCTTGTTACTCTCTCATAATGGTTACATTATTAGATAGTTGTTACATTATTAAGTGTCCATTATGTTCATGTGATCGATGATTTATTATTAGATGACGATGTAACGTATCAACAATAACGTTTATAATTACCATTGGCACCAACATTGGACTTGATTGCTTGCTCACCATGAAGAGATATGTCCAAGTTGTGGGCCTGCTAGGCCAGCAAATTATGATAGAGGACAAGAAAGAAAGTAAGAAAAGAGAGTTCGAGATTCCATTCTATGAGCACATGATAATGATTCCTTGTGTTTCACAAGCTTCAACTCCATATGCCCATCAAATCAATTTAGCATGACAAATAAGAAGGTGTACATTATTCTTCACTTAAGTAATGAAGTGTTAGACAATTGTTCACCTTTCCATCATCTTTTCAATATTATATTCATTTCCTATATGTGAAGAATCTCCTATGATTCATTGTTAGCAAATTTGGAAGTTTTATTCTTTTTAGTTTAACAGTTAGAGAAATTCAGGTCAGTTTCTTTCTCCAGTACGATCAAAGGCAGTTCATCCATGTCAAGATTAAAGTATTCATAAGAAATAAATCCCTTATACTAACTCAAAACGATTAAATCTAAAATTCATCTTTGTTACCACTTAAACTATCTATCGGGAACGAAGTTTTATTCAACTTCATCTATAAATGAAAATCTTTAAGCTATAATAGAACAAAAAAAGTGTAAATGCATTAAGTAGTTCATATTAGGGGATTTCGTGAGACTATTATCTCGAGTGTTTAAATTCGAGAATAATACAAAAAAATCATGAATTAGTGGACGTACATGATTTGCAGTTAATGCTTCTAAATATCTGTCAGAGAGTGTTTGGTTGAGACAATTTTGACCATCAAAATAAAGAAATAAATGATTAGTTGGGGCATTATAGTTGTAACCTTTTAAAATGCCATGCACAATCAATAGTCCATACCAATAACTTTGATTTATTGTGGTATTATTCTATTGGCATAATGTACTCTATTGACACTTGTTTTTTCAAAAGAGATATCCACAAAATGATTAGGCACATTTGTTACGAGGAGCTCTATTATATGGAAAAATTGACTATCAACCATTATTATTTCAATGAAGAATCGACTGTTACAATCAACTTAACTGGCTAAATTTACGGTGTTGCATTCATTTACATACCAAATCAGACTCGTTTATAAACAATAAGAAAATTCTCGAGAGTATTACCAAAAGTTTGACGGGAGAGAAAATTAATGGTGTATCAAAATGAAGCAGGTCATTATGCGATATGACTGCACGCACTGGGGCTTGTTGGATGCTCCTTTGAGAGCATGATCTGGGGAAGGAAATAGAACTGGCGAATGCAATTACTATGGCAGGGCAGTTCTGCCTCTAGATCATCAGACATGAAATCAGAACCTTAGAACTGTAGGTTTGTCTGGCTATAACAGGGTATACCCCCGCTACCATGACAATTTATAGTACCTTTTTTTCCCAATCAAACTGAGTTGTTGTTTTGGGGGGGTTAAATTAGGGGTAGTTGAAATGATAATAGGGAGGAGTTTTAAACTCAGATGTTATGAGTTTTAATCTTGGTAACTGCTTAGATTCAGGCCATGAGGATTTATCTTTCATTAATATCCTAATTTTGGCGTGAATGGTCTATCTTTGATCGGACTGGAAAAGAAATTAGTCGAGGTATGCGTAAATTAGTCTGGACATCCCTAATCGTTGAATTAAAAAAAAAAAACAGAAACTAAGAGAGGCCCACCACATAGTCATTGCAGAAGTGCATTAGTACCAAAATTCCATGTATTTGATGAAGGTCTGCTAAGAGCATATTTCCTTAAACCACCCAAATTTGGTAAACTTGAATTTAAACATCCAATGAAATTCAAACCGAGAATATGTTTGTTTACACATCAATGCTTATTCAATCATTGAACTAATCCGCATGAGTTCACTAAGTACATATATGATTAAAAGGGTTTTGCTCTTAAAAATGCTACCACAGTATTTCTCTGTGCATAACTATACAAACAAATCGAGTAGCTGTAATTTAAATAAATGTTCTTAACAGAAACACCCTCAACTACTCTTTTTTTTTTTTTTGNTTACGGTGTTGCATTCATTTACATACCAAATCAGACTCGTTTATAAACAATAAGAAAATTCTCGAGAGTATTACCAAAAGTTTGACGGGAGAGAAAATTAATGGTGTATCAAAATGAAGCAGGTCATTATGCGATATGACTGCACGCACTGGGGCTTGTTGGATGCTCCTTTGAGAGCATGATCTGGGGAAGGAAATAGAACTGGCGAATGCAATTACTATGGCAGGGCAGTTCTGCCTCTAGATCATCAGACATGAAATCAGAACCTTAGAACTGTAGGTTTGTCTGGCTATAACAGGGTATACCCCCGCTACCATGACAATTTATAGTACCTTTTTTTCCCAATCAAACTGAGTTGTTGTTTTGGGGGGGTTAAATTAGGGGTAGTTGAAATGATAATAGGGAGGAGTTTTAAACTCAGATGTTATGAGTTTTAATCTTGGTAACTGCTTAGATTCAGGCCATGAGGATTTATCTTTCATTAATATCCTAATTTTGGCGTGAATGGTCTATCTTTGATCGGACTGGAAAAGAAATTAGTCGAGGTATGCGTAAATTAGTCTGGACATCCCTAATCGTTGAATTAAAAAAAAAAAACAGAAACTAAGAGAGGCCCACCACATAGTCATTGCAGAAGTGCATTAGTACCAAAATTCCATGTATTTGATGAAGGTCTGCTAAGAGCATATTTCCTTAAACCACCCAAATTTGGTAAACTTGAATTTAAACATCCAATGAAATTCAAACCGAGAATATGTTTGTTTACACATCAATGCTTATTCAATCATTGAACTAATCCGCATGAGTTCACTAAGTACATATATGATTAAAAGGGTTTTGCTCTTAAAAATGCTACCACAGTATTTCTCTGTGCATAACTATACAAACAAATCGAGTAGCTGTAATTTAAATAAATGTTCTTAACAGAAACACCCTCAACTACTCTTTTTTTTTTTTTTGCGCACTTTTCTTTCTTTCTTTCTTTGTTTCCGGTATTTTCAAAACTGAAATTAACTTACTTACCATCCGAACTGATGGTCTAATGGTAAATCATACTTGTTTAAGATCGTCATTGACTTCCATGTAGTTATCAAGTAGTATTCGATTCAGGAGAGCAAGGAAGCTTACTGCTTGGCTTTGAAAGTGCTTGTATGACGGGTTGTCCTTCCAAGTTAATAGTTATAACTCAAACAAGACATTACACGGTGAAAAGAAATCAACCTACTTCTTCAATTGATCCAGGGACATCACCATGCCCTCCTGATGCATTTCCCTGCCCGGCTTCCACGTCTGTTGCTTCGGAAGATGTCGGTTTTTCGTTTATAGACTGTCGGCACGTCGGACAGGAGGAGTGTGATGCCAACCAAATGTCAATACACCTCACGTGAAAACCATGGTGACACCTTGGCAGAACTCTAACTTTCTCACCATCCATAAATTCACCAAGGCAAATTGGACAATCTGTGGCCGGAATACCTATCCCCGACCCATATACAGTCACCGGAATCTGGCGTAACACGCTCTTTTTCAGGCCAGTGGCTGCTAGCCGGGCAGCTGTCTCTTCCGGTGTTTCGAAGGCCAGCCTCCGGCTACATCTTATAGCACAACGCACAATTGAGTTTAGTCCAAGAGCGCATATCAGTGCACAAAGCAGGGCTGCTAGTATAATCACCATGTTTGTGTCGAAATTCGCCTCACTGGGGTAAGCAGCCGGTGGTCTGCCACTGTTACCAGACGGCGCACCTGTCGGTGCATCCAGGAGTAGCCGTTGTGGATGATGATAGAGATTCATTGTAGATTACTTTGTTTACAAAAATATCAAACACCTAAATCACAAGGACAATTCAAAACTTCTGAGGCTTCTCCAATGAGCTATGCATATAAGCTAGAGATTTCGTTGTTCCATGGGAATTTAACAGCAAATCGAACAACAAAAGAGAGAGAAAGTAGGAAATTCATCTCACTGATGAACTCACAGATCTCTTGCTTATTTCACCCCCTTTTCAACTTGAAAATTTCGGGTTAAGCCTAGTATTGGATGAGTTTAAAGGCTAGACTTCTAGGGTTTTGAATCTTTGATAGCAAAAACCCAAGAAATTTTTTTCTCAACAAGTGGTATCAAAGCTAGAGCCGAAGAACCGTTACAAGAAACTCAAACACTTTTGAATACATGTCAGGATTCAATTTGAAACACATCGAAAAAAAAACATATCTCTCACAAGGACAATTGAAACCACTGACTTCAGCATGCAGTATCAGGCTTTCTCATGTATGAAACAAGGTCCTCTCATGGATAAATGAAAAGAAAAGAAAAGAATAGAAAAGGAAAGGAAAGAAAAGAAGAATTGCTGTGGTGTTTTGGGGGACGGAAAGAGAGGAGGAGTTGTGTCATAGTTCCTAGCTAATTGATGTGGTGTTTTGGAGTGTGTTTGGGTGTGGCAAAGGACACTGGGAAATAGATGGGAAGATAGATACCAAATGGAAGCAAAGTTGTTGTTTGGTGTCTTTTCACTTCTATAATACTCAGGACTTGACAAGGTTTAAGCTTTATAACCAAGTATAAAAATGCTTATTCCAGCACCAAATCCTTCTCCCACTCCTCATTATTCAAAAAGATATGTTAGTAATTTGTGCTTTATCGCCTTTTGAAAAACTGATTCTCAGGCTCAAATCCCGCGACATAATGCATGGGCGAATGAGCACTCAACTTAGTGGTAGAACAATTTAATTCATATACAAGTTTTCAATTTAATTAAGTAAAATAATCATACAAGGCAACTTTACTAATGTCACATTTTTATTGGACGAAACGTAGAGGTACGTTATTTAAAAATATCTTTTTGACACTGCAATTAAACTAATCTTTATCAGAATAAAACTTGGTCCCTATCCAGTATCGAGAGCCTTCACGGCTTCACCTACCATTTCAGGATGTTGAAATTTACACTTATTTAGATTCAAAATATCATAATCATACACTCTGCATATGTATCGAATTAAATTAGTTTCTCTATTTTATCAAAAATAAATATAGCTAAAATTTTGAAGTTGGAGATAACTTATTGAATGACCCTTCATTAAACAATAAAATTTTAGTTAGATTATTATTTGGCCTCGAAGCCAGGAAGTGTACAACTTGGAATTCAATAGGGTTTTTTTTTTTGTCACTATTTAAAACTTTTAGAGGAGAGGAGATTAGTGAAATTTGAATCTGCAACTTAACGGTCCAATAGTGGGCTATGGAGCCATTAGACCACCGTTGATCTTCGAATTCAGCAGGTTGAATGGCTTGCTTTTACAATTTTAGACATTTTCAAAGTTTAATTATCAAATACTTTGAGAGAAAATTTCAGTTAATTCAATAATTGCATAATGAGACGGTTGAATATGAGTACCACTTCAATCATATCACACACCAAAACAAAATTACAGCGTTCTTATTATTTTTCTTTAAAAAAAAATGCTCTAAAACTAAAAACACTATTGAGTTAACTGAAATTCTAGATGTTTATTCTAGAGGTTTTTTGACAAATACGTGTAGATCTCTCTTCATGTCTAACTTTGTTTCACTCGGCCTTTCTATTGACCATTTTGTTGCTATCTATTCAATTTCGTGATATTTTAACTGATACACGAGGTGTCTTTTGAGTCGATTGCCGATATTATCATCTTAAACCAAAACTGAAATTGCATAATCTTTAGCATGGAGATTTTGATAAAGACATGTAAATCAGAGAGAGAGAGAGAGAGAGAGATGGCTGCCTCTTTCCTTAGCTGTGTGTGGTGTGTGTGACGACAGGAAGAAGTGGTTCATGGAGAACCTGTGGCTCAAGGCAATACCACCAAGAAGGCAATGATGGGTCCACATACATTCAGTCGATTTCATTGGTGGACCCCCGAAAATTCATAGAACTGGACACCTGTGGTGTGCTACAATGGTTCTAGTCCATACAAGTTACATCAAAATCTTATATGCTCACACACCTACTTTATTAACTGTACAATAAATTCATCTGCATGAGGTGAAGGAATTGAATAACAAGTTAATATCATACACACAATTCTCACTCTTGAGCTCTGGTTTTATCACCATGGTACGAGGGAATGAAGCCAAAGTTTGCAGTGGTTTAGATTTAGAATGTTCTAGAACACTTCAGTCCATGAAATATGTTTTTTTTTTCTCTTCCTTAAACGTCTTTTGAACTTACGGTTGCAGTTCAACCATCGGATGCCTGTAATTATCCTCAAAACACACAGATTAAATAAAAGTTCTATGCGGCTGAGCTCAAACTCGGGTCCACGGATTTGTTGGCTGCCTCTTGTTCGACCACTAAACTAATTCCTACACATGCATTTAACATGGTAATTTGAATCTCACAATTATTGCTTCAACTCTTTATGATGCAGATGAGAGAGACAGTGCCCATGAAATGTCCATTCATCAGAACCCGTGTCTATCCAAAGGCATCAAAATAATTGTCATCCACCTCTCTCTCTCTCTCTCTCTCTCTCTCTCTCTCTCTCTCTCTCTCTCTCGGGTCTTTGGTCTTGAATTTTTTTTTCCCTTTTTTTCTCTAACAAAATAAGGGTCGAAGACAAGAGAGAATACTCAAAGACTACCTTGATAAATCCTCACTAATAGGATTATGAGATCTTTAACTGCATTCGTTATTCTTCTTGAAAATGACCTTAACAAGGCTAACTCCTAACGAAGGCAAAATCGAAAATATTTTGTTAAAAACTTGAAATGGATTTATTGAAAAATAAAAGGATTAAAAATGAAGCCAAGTTCTGCAAAAGATACGGTTATAGCCGCAATGAGAAAGGCAATGTCGGGTTCGACTTCCCTACTGTTAACGACTTCGTTTTGGGGGATGTCCACGGCACTGTCCGGTCAAAATTCATTACGGTATCGAAAAAAATGTGTAGTCCTCAATTTTTGTTATTAAATATTAAAAATTTACTCATTAAAGGTGTGATAATTTTACCAATAAAAGTTGTACCATTTTTTTTCCCTTTTTTTGTGATATTTTTACCTTTACTAGTTGAAACTTAACCTTAAATAGTTATAACTTCATATCCAAATATAATAATTTTATCATAAATAGTTATAACTTCACTTTCAAAGATAGTAATTTTACTTTTAATTGTTCTAACGTTACCTAAAGAGTTTGTACCTCACCTTTAAATGTAATTGTTTTATCTCAAGAATAATAACTTTGTCTTTGCAAATAGTAACATTACATGTAATATTCATGATCGATCACGATTAATTAAGATGAATCTCAATGCCAAATTTTATTTTTTTTGCGATTCCGCTTAATTGGGATCGATCATGATTAATTAAAATCGATCCCAATGCCAAATTTTTTTTTTTATTTTTTTTTACGATTCCATTCAATTAGGATCGATCATGACTATATGAGATCGATCTTAATGCATTTGATTGTTCAAAAATTGGGACCAAACTAAATCTCTGCTAGTTCCAATTAAATAAGATCAATCACGACTAGCCGAATTTTATTTTTTTTGAAGTGGTCCCGATTTTACATTTAGTTACATTAAATTGACATGTAATTTTATGAAATTAATTTTTAATTTTATCCAACTAACACTCAATTCATCAAAAATAACATTAAATTGACCTTCAATTGTATTAAATTAACATTCAAAATTATAAAATTAAAATTCATAAAATTAACATTAATTTAAAATTCATAAAATTAAAATTAATTCATAAAATTTTAATTAATTTGATGAAATTACATGTCAATTTAATATAACTAAATATAGGATCGGGACCAATTCAGAAAAAAATAAATAAATAAATAAATTCGACTAGTCATGGTCGATCCTATTTAATTGGAACCACCAGAAATTTAGTTTTGTCTCAATTTTTGAACCATCAAATGCATTAAGATCGATTTCATATAGTCATTATCGATCCTAATTGATTGGAATCGCATAAAAAAGAAAAAAAATTGGCATTGAAATTGATTTTAATTAATCATAATCGATCCTAATTGAGTGGAATAGCAAAAAAAAAAAATTGGCATTGGGATCGATCTTAATTAATCATAATCGATCATGACTATTAAATGTAATATTATTACTTGCAAAGACAAAGTTTATTATTCTTTAGATAAAGTTATCAAATTTATAGGTGAGATACAAACTCTTTAGATAAGATTACAACAATTAAAAGTAAAAATACTATCTTTAAAAGTGTGGTTATAATTATTTATGGTAAAATTATTACGTTTGGATATGAAATTATAACTATTTAAGGTTATGTTATAATTAGTAAAGGTAAAAATACCACACAAAAACGGCTGCTAAGGTTACAATATTTAAAAAAAATGGTACAATTTTTATTGGCAAAGTTATCACACATTTAGTGAGTAACTTTTTAATATTTAATGACAAAAATTAAGCACTACACATTTTTTTTCAGTACCGTACCGAATTTTGACCGGATGGTACTCTAGACCTCCCCTCATTTTGGGCCAATACAAAATTATTCTATTTAATAAAATAAGTGAAAATTGGGACCAAATCTTTCTTAATGGACTTATAATAACTTGAGTCCGTCAAAAAAACTTATTTAGTAGTCCATTTTTTATTTTACTAATAAGTACTTAACTCCGTTATTTTTTAAAATTTCAAAAATATTCTTAATATTGTTATTCGGTTCAATTATAGAAATCTTAAATACCTTAAAAGTAATTTTAAATTAATTTCATAAATTATAAATTATTATCTCTTAATTCACTCCTAAATTGAAATTGAAATTTATATTCTCTCTCTCTCTCGTTAGAGAAGATCATCACTACAGTGTCATAAATTTTTCTCCTTAAATATCATTTCTTCATCCATAGCATAAAAATAAGTAGAGTTTGGAAATATCATCAACAACTACCATATTTTCTATTGTGTTTTGGTCATCATAAACTTCTATGTTGTTAGTTTTCGGGAAAAAAAAAATTAAAAAACTTGCTCAATGTGCTATTAATTTAATTCCCAATTTAATTTTTATTTTTTTGATAAATAATCCCCAATTGTTTTTAATGATTCATTTAATTACGTTTTTTGTTGACCATGTTAGTATTTTTTCTAATTGATTATGTTACTATTTTTTTTCATGTTATTATTTTTTGTCGAATATGTTATTTCTTTTTCAGTATTATTTTTTTAGATGCTAAAGAATTTGAAGCTTGTTACTTTGGTTATGGGTTTGAATACTACTATTTTTTTTATCAATTTTGTTCAATATTTTATATTGCTATTTTTTTTGTTGAGTATATTATTATTTTGTTAAGCATGTTACTATTTTTATTAAGTATGTTACTATTTTTATTAAGTATGGTACTATTTTTTTGTTGAACATGTTACAATTTTGTTAAACATGTTACTATTGTTATTTGTTAAAAATATTAATATTAAATGTTACTATTTTTTATGTTTAAATGTTACAATTTTTTTGTATTTAAGTGGCATTATTTTTTGTATTTAAATGATACTTTTTTTTTGTATTTGAATGTTATTATTTTTTATTTTTAATGTTATTATATATATATACTAGTTATGGCTTGTGTCTGAAGGCACAAAGTAATAAAAAATAGTAAACAATAAACATATTTGTATTCATATCTAAAATCAAACCACAAACATATAGAAGAGATAAATGAATTTAAGAATCAATTTGTAGTGGGGGAAGAGGTGGTGGGCGGCAGTGGTGGTGGTAAGAGACAGTGATGGTTATGGTGAGTGGCAATGACTATGGCGGCGGTGGTGATGGTGGCGGCGACGACGATGGTGGTGGTGATAATGATGATGGTGGTGGCGGCGGTAGTGGCGGCAGCAGTGGTGGCGGTAGAGGTAGTGGTGGAGTAGTTTCAAACACTATTTTTTTAAAGTATTTATGAAAAATAATTTTAAAAAGTTACTTCAAACACATTCTTATATCTCTATTTTTTCCTATTAAATTTAGGGTATTAATGTTAGCCGTTAAATTAATTTTAAAGTAAAATTTAAAGTGATCTCAACAGTGAATAACTAAAGTCATTTTGTTTAAATTCATTTAAATTCATTGTTTGTGTTTGAATGCACAAAGTAATAAAAAAAATGATCAATAATAATCAAATCACAAATACATAGAAAAGAAAAATGAATTTAAATACCGATTTATAGTAAAAGTGAGCGCTGGTAATGGTGGTGGGTGACAGTGATAGTGGTAATAGCGGCATAGGTGGTAGTGGTAATGGTTGTGAGGGGTCGTGAGGGTAGTGAGGATGGTGGTGGTCAAGCAGTAGGGGTGGTGGCAGTAGTAATGGTGACGATAGTGATAGTAAGGGCAATGGTGGTAGGAGTGGTTGTTATGACAAAAGAGGTGGTGGGGTGGCAACAGCGATGGTGGTGAAGTGGAAGTGATGATGGTGGGATTAATAGGGGTGGTATAGTGACGATAGTGATAGTGGTGGTAAAGGGCAGAGGGCGATGATAGTGCTGATTGTGGTGGTGAGGCAGTGGGTAAGGTGGTGGTGGGGCGATGGGCAAGATGATGGTGGTAGTGGTAGTGGTGGTGACGAAATAGTTCCAAACACTATTTTTTTTTTAAAGTATTTATGAGAAATTATAAATATTAAAAGTACTCTTAAAAAGTCACCCCAACACATACCCTTAGAGGTCTATTTTTCCTATTAAATTTGGAATGTTTATATTAGCCGTTGAATTAACTTTAAAATAAAATTAAGAGAGATCACAATCGCGAATAATAAAAGTCATTTTATTTATCTTTTGAAATTTGAATTGTATTATATTTTATTATATAGATATATGAGAGATATATAGTCCTAACTTATATATAGATATAGATAGATATGAGAGAAAGAAATTTTTAACGTTAGTCAAACTCTTAAAATTTTGAATTTTTGAATTTTTAGTTTTATTTCACTTCTAATGGGAAAGGATAGTCTAGTAAACTTGACAAAAAATAAATTTTGTAATAAATAAATTTTCTTGATAGACTTAAGTCCATACAAAAGGATCGGCCTCCAAATTTTTCATAAAACAACATCATTTTAATCAACACCACCTAACATTAGAATTAGGGGTGTTCAAATTTTCGACCGGTCGCAAGTTCCTATCCTATCCTACCCTACTGAACAGCTAGCCGCAAAAATTGGGTAGGAATGCGGAAGAGTTTTTGGTCTTCTGACAATTTTCGGGTAGGAATGCGAAATAGCTATCTATTTCCGCAAACCTACCCGACCCGCAATAATTTTTTAATATATATATATAAACTAAAAAAACCCTAAACCCTGACCACATGCGGAACAATTATGATTTTAATATATTTCATATAATTTAAAGTTTAAACTTAAATTAATTGTTATTGTATTTGTGTAACAATTATGGTGGATTGATATTCATACTTTCTTGTGTTTTATTATAATTCTTGGTGTAGTTGTTTTAGATTTTAGTGTTAATTAATTTATTGTGTTGTTAAATTGGTGCATGTTATTTAATTAAATTATTAAAATTATCCAAAAATAAATTGTTACAAAAATGTTTAGGAAGTCGGGTAAGAATACCACACCTGTCGGATATGGTAGGTCAACAAAAAATTCTTTCATAAAATATCGAATAAAAAAACGAAATAATATATTTCCTACCAGTAGAGTAGGGTGAACACCCTAATTAGAATGCATGTACTTGGAGTGATGTCAAGCTCGGCAAAAGACCCGTGGCCTGTCATATGGACCATGTTTTGTCACCTCGATCTGGAAGACTTATTCGGCCCGGCCCATCCGCCCACTAAAATTTGAAAGAAACTCTTGCTACAGTTTTAATCGAAACAAAAAAAAAAACTTGATTATGGCATGTTAAATGTCTGTTAGTACTGAACCCATTGGTAGTGCTCTACAATCGATTGGGCCAATCGTGGGCCGTTCTCCTCATAATTCGACTTCCATATCTTGGACAATCATAAAGTAGAGCATTGGACATAGAAACCCCCTAAAAGTTTTTTTTTTTTTTTCGACACCTAAAAGTGTTTTGACCAATTTACATGTATTTCGATTAATTTTCTCTTTTATTCGTTCAAAAGAAGATCATCCACGTCGAGATTAAGATATTCATGAGGAATAAATCCCTCGTGACCTAATCCAAAAATTTCAAGGGATAATTCAAGTGATAACAAAAACGAGCTGTAATAAATTCAGATGTCTTGAGTTTGAATCATTTTGTCAAATACACCAATCGTAATTCCTTAATTAAATAAAATTTTATCTTTTAATTAGGAAAAAATAAATCAAAGAATAGAGACAATAGGGCATATAACAAAGCCAAACAATGTCAATTTTCATTTTGATGACTTACGGGTAGTTTTGAAGAAATAAAGTTGTAAGTTTCTGAATCATGAATTATGGGTGTGGATTTAAAGATGATACGGTTATAAATAGATTAAGTTAATGACAAATCATTTTATCTCACATATTTAATTAAAATTTTTAATTAATATGAATTAACATTCAATATAAATCTATAATATGGCCAAATGAACTTCTTATTCTAAAAATTTAAAAATTTTCAGATTGTATCTTTAAAAATTAATTTTTTTCATAATATATTTTTAATGTATTAAAAGTATTGTAATGTGATCTTACTATTAGATGACGTTACTCGGTCCATCAATGTTGATTTTTTGATAGAATGAGCAACGAAAACAAAAGATAGGATTATAATATTTTTAATGTATTTAAGGTATAATTAGAGGTGTCAAAATATTATAAAACTGATAAACACGACATGAAATTAAAGAATTTTGGACTTTCTCGGGTCTCTTGTTTTTTAAACCAATGAATCTGGTATGACATAATTAACAAGCGAATTGAGTATGAATAAAATCAATTAAAAAAAATATACGACACGATTCGTTTATATATTGGTTATATGTAATTTATACATGATATAAATCTGATATGATGCAATTCTTTGGACACGAATTAAAAAAATGAATCGAGCGAGGATTGAGTATTTTTTAACACAAATCTGTTAAAATTCGATGGGAATTATGATTAACGAAAATAGGTAAATGTACAAAATCCAATCGTTGAGGGGGTACAAAATAAATATTCTTAATTCTCTCTCTATGACTATGATATCACGAGTCAAACCACCGTTCACTCTCTCTCCTCTCAGCGATATGGAAGACAAACAAAGACAACCATAGACAAATCTCACTCAATCAACTCACACACTGAAGACTGAAATGGAAGATCCATCGAATCCGAGCTCACAGCAAACAAATCCAACGGCGTCGCTCAGGCCGACTCACCACCGGCGAGCTCACTCGGAGGTGAACTTCAGGCTACCGGAGGACCTAGATCTGGTGTCGGACCCCTTCGATGCGCCTTCGGAGAGTTTCGAAGAGATGGGATCTGAGGACGATCTCTTCTCCACTTTCATGGACATCGAGAAGCTTGGATCCAGCCTGAACGACGGCGTTTCGGACAATGCTGCCGGTGGAGGTGGCGGTAATTGTGGCGGAGTAGGGGCGGAGGGTGGTGAGGGCGAGAGAAATGTGATGAGGCCTCGGCATCGCCACAGTAATTCTGTTGATAGTTCGAATCTGTTCGGTGAGAGTATTGAGGCTAAGAAGGCTATGGCTCCTGAGAAGCTGGCTGAGTTGTGGTCTATAGATCCAAAGCGAGCCAAGAGGTACAAATACTGCTAATGTAATCAGAATTCATATTTACTATATATCTTGCTGATTTGAAGTAATTGCTGAGGATGAAATTTCGTAGTTTCTTGAAAATGGAATTTTTTTTGACTCGTTGATTGATCGATATTGTTGGGAATGTGAGTGGATTTGACAATTTAGAACTGGATAAAATAGTGAAATTAGAAATTTATGGTTTCAGAGGAGATCCTGAAACCGATCGTAGTGAATTTAGAGCTAAATCAAGACAACTTTTTGACTCTAGCTGCCAGTCATCTTATCAAGACTTTCTAGGCTAAAGCGTCAAATGTTTTCTTGATAATTTCAGAAGGGAGTTTGTAAAATTATTATTATTCTTCTTTTTTTTTTTTGTAAATTATGAAACACCTTGTTATGTAATTTGAGAATAAATGCATCGGTTGCTTTTTTGGAATTTTGTTTTAAAACACAAGAATTGTTTGTGATTTTTTCAGCCCAAGTGTATATGAGGCAGATACTAAGGTTTTGTCTCGGTTGAGGGATTTCAAGTATATTTTGGATGCAATTGTTTTAAGATTAGAGCTTGGATTGTACATCATGGCTTTATCCACAGAGAGATTATAGAACCAAATACTTCTCGATCTTAGAATTTGAGGTGAAGAGTGTAGTACATGAGAATCGTGGTTGCATGATTCTGTATGGGATATGTGTCGCTCCAAAGTCGTACGTGTGTCGTGTGGTCTATCCTATGCTGGAACTCTCCCAGGCCAATTCCTATCCTCCTCTTTGTGCAAATGAAAGCCAACCCTCTCCTTCTAGATCTAGCAATCCAAAGATTCCAAAAGAAATCCTAAATTTTGTAACCTCGTCTCTTACGGTTTTTAACATGGCTAGTACTGTTTCCAATCACATGAACACACTGCATGGCTCTTCTTCTGGTTTGCTGACTAGGAAAATGGCATAAGGTTTTTAAAAATATAAAACAGTCAACAGTTCGATTACTTTTACGGTTTTACCATGTTGAATTCGTAAGCCTAATAAGGATTGTATTTTGCATCTGTGCCTGGCTAAACAAATTGATGTGACTAGTTTCTTTTACTAAATGATCCAATCAGAGAGTTGCCAACCTCGTAATTATTGATTTCTTCAACAAATTTGGCTCATGACTGTATCCTATACTACTCCATCTCTATGCCGAGTTTTCTAAGGTCGACTGTTCAAACCTTCCATTGCTTGTAAAACTCCAATTTTTTGGCCCCAAAAACTTCTCTTTCTCAGAATGTTTGAAAAACCTTACATTTCAATATTGCATGAAAAAAATTTCTGCATTAAGAATTTTGTTCTCCACATGATTGGATCTGGTGAGAAGAAATTTTCATGTCCATTTCCTTGGGATGGTAATGAATTTAAGTATCTTGAATATTTAATCACTTGTGTTTTGGATCACCTGAGATATTAAATGCAATGATATTCAGGATTTTGGCAAATCGACAGTCTGCTGCTCGTTCAAAAGAGAGGAAGGCGCGTTATATGTCAGAACTTGAGAGAAAAGTTCAGACCCTTCAAACAGAGGCAACCACTCTTTCCGCACAACTCACGCTATTCCAGGTAATTCTTGGAGCACTTCCTTAACGAAAATATGCTTACGTGTTTCAATGTTTCCCAGAAATGTGCTTGGCTTCATAGCATAATGTGAAACCTAATGGTTCTAGTTCTGCACTTTATTATTCCTTTTCCTGCCTACAATTTCCATCCAAGTGTTCTTGTTTCTTTTCTTTCCTTTTTTTGGGTGGGGGCTGGGGGTGGGATGGGGGTATTATTGTTCTTGTTTTTCTTTCCAGTGACTAAGAATAAAAAACCACACGAGCAGGTTTTACTTTTTGGGGAGCACTCTTCTCATTCACACTTAATTTGATTTGCATTGAGTGCTGAAATCAAAAGTTCCATAGATTCTTGTACATGCAAACTACAGGCTGCAATTGCCAACAATTAAAATGGCCATTATGGCAAGTTTATATGCACTGATCAGTGTATTGGTGTGGTTGACATCTTCCTAAGAAATGTCTGAGGCTCTGGCATGGTTGTATTGGTGGTATTTAGCATTCCAACAATACAAAGAAAAAGGATTGCTTTTCTTAGTGCACTTTCTTATAGGGTAATTGCTACACTTAAGAAGTTAAAATAAGGATTGGTAAATGAAAGGAAGAAAAAAGAACTGCATTACAGCTAGTGCCCCAATACTCTTTTACGGAAATTTGACTCTTAATTTCATCAGCCCAACATTATAAATGTTTCATGCTGATTGAACATGAGGTCAAGTTAAAACTTTTACTATCTCATATTGGCCACTTTATATTTGTTCTTGCATTTATACAAGCTTCACATATTATTTTCTAGAGCTTTGGGGTGTGATGCGATTGATTTGCTTTTAGCTTTCTTTTTTATACTGTTTATCAGGTATTCCTTCTATATTCCATATATACTGTTGTTTCCTTCCACAGAGAGATATAACGGGTCAGAGTACTGAAAATACAGAGCTTAAACTTCGGTTACAAGCTATGGAACAACAAGCTCAGTTACGCGACGGTAGGTTTCAAGCAAAAAACTTATTCTGGAACCTTTTTCTATATGGTGTTGAATGTACTTTTTTTTTTTTTTGAATTGAATGCATTTTTCTAAAAATTAATCATATTTTTTATTTTAAATTGGCAAGTATGGATCCTTCAGATACTGTCATACTCTAATGGTAACTTATTTACTCATCAAATTGTTTGTTCACTGGTGTGCCACTGCCAGAACTTAGGATGAGCTAAATATGATGGAGCACTTGGTACATCAGTATTGTAGTCGTCTTGTATCTTTATTTTTTTATTTTTTACCATTTCAACCTGCACAATGGGAAATCGCTAGTTAGATGTTAATCTGTATGATATTGTTGCAAACACAGCCCTAAATGAAGCACTGAAGCAGGAAGTAGAAAGGCTCAGAATTGCCACTGGAGAAATAGCATCCTCTTCAGATACCTACAATTTGGGAATGCATCATTTTCCATATAACCAATCCGCAGTCTTTTCACATCAGCCACAACCGGGATCGAGTGATCGTCAGAACGTGCAGATGCCACAGTTTCATCCCCTCCAGTCTAGGATGTCAAGTCACCATCATCACATGCTTGGAGCTGCCCACACACAGGCTTTTTCAGATACATTGCAGCCCGATCCCCTTGGTCGTTTTCAAGGGCTTGATATCAGCAACAGAGGCTCTCATCTCGTGAAGTCTGAAGGCCCTTCTATTTCTGCCAGTGAAAGCAGCAGCACATTCTGATTCGAATTTTGCTGGTTTGCGCCTTGGCCCTACTATATTTGCTGAATTGTTTATAGACTGACATCTTTCTTAGCATCAAAAATACCATTTCTTAAAAATTTATTTATTGATTTCGCAGCGGGTCTTAGGTTTTCAGTAGTTTTAACAGTTCTTGCAATGTTCATTGTTGTTGTTGTGGTCGTCTTTTTTTTTTTTTTTCCTATTGTATTCGATTCTGAAATCATTTCTCACGATTTTTTTTTTCAGTAGTTGAACTGATATTCCAATTATTTTTCCTTTTTACCTTCACTGACTGAGAAGTGTAAAATTGTTGTTGTATCTTGGTCATTTCTATAATCTCTCTCTCTCTCTCTCTCTCTCTCTCTCAGCGGTGTGAAGGGTCTTACTTTGCTTACTGTTTAAAGTGGCACGAAAGCTTTTTATATTGAAATACTCTTAACAGGTACTGATCCAAATGTTTCTCCCAACCTATTTATCCTTAGTTTCCAAGTACAGTTAGGGAGGACAGGTTTCGGCACAGTGGTAAAGTTTGTAACTTGAGTGTTACAAATTTGGGTTCTGGAAATAATCTCTGGGCATGAATGGATAAGTTTATTCAAATCACTAAATGCAAGAATTTCTCAGGTAAAAACAAAATGGATTTGTTTGTCTTTAGACGCCATTTTTAAACCACATTCATANATTTTTTTTTTTTTGATAACAGAAAAAATTTGACTTATTTTCAACGAAGAGAAATGTCGGTCAAGTCTAAATATCATTATTTCTCAACTTTATATATGATAGTGTAAAATTTGACTGACAAAAAATAAAATTAAAACAAAAATAAAATAATATAATGAACGTAATTTGAATTTAAAATGAATAAAATTCGAACCAAAAGAACTATTATATCAGCGTCACATTATTTGATTCTTATTTTGAGTCCCATTTTTTTTTTTTGGGTCAAATCTAAGAGACTACATCTTTAAATTAGCAGAAAATCCTAACTAAGATATAGGTCGGTTTTGAGCTCACCATTTTTTTGAATATTTTTATCCTTCGGCTGGCCATTATTGGACAAGGAAATGCTCAAGACTTCACCAGTAAAATTCCTTAGTCATTGTTGTACGCTGGTAGTGTTTGTATTTTGTCATGACGCACATTTCTCAATGTTCACTCATTATAACATATACAGATCGATAGAACTTTTACGTTTAATCTATTACAATGCTCCGAATAGGATCATCCACTAGTTTGACTTTTTGACCAAATTCACTATTCTTTCCTATGAGCGCAAATTGTGGAATTTCAACATGCTTTTGAATCAGAGGTTAACGGCTAATCTAATGATCATCGTCTCTGGTGTTCGAACCTCACCTTCCCTTTTCTATAGTATCTAACAAAAAAAAATACTTTTGAAGCATAAAAGAAATTCACCAATGTCCAAAAACTTTTAAAGTGAATAAGGGTATTAACAAAGAGCATATTCCTTTTTTTCTTATGCTGCATTTTAACTTGAAAAAGTAATTGATAAACTAAATTTAGAATTTTATGGGTTGATTGCAAGATGAAGGAGCTTATTAACACTTTGATTTCATAATTCCAATTCATTGAATAATTTAAAGTTTCGGACATTCGCAGCCAAAAATGGAAAATAGAAAATTTGTACAGCTATAATGTTGTCTAAAACCCAGAATGTTCTTAGTCTTAAATTTGTTCTACTTTACCACCCATGCCACATGTCCTGGCAACCATACAAAATCCACTTTGTATCTTTAGCTATGATGTGAAACATAATTAACCATACACTTTTCTAATTTGTATGGAGTTCCAAAAACTGTCACATTCATGAATTTTGATTTTGGAAGAAACCGTTTTTCTTTAGTAAATTTTCTTTCTGTGTGTGTGTGAGAGAGAGAGAGAGATGAGAAGAATTATTGAGGAAGAAATCATCGAACAAAGACCAAAAACCATCCCATCGAAGAGACAAAAAAGTAAAACAAAATCAGGGAAGATTTTCTTTTTAAGACCATGGAATGAAAAAGATAGAAGAAAAAATAAGAACTAAGTAGTGGTACGTCTTTGACGGTCTTGGAGACATGACATGTCGAAGTGAAACCTCCCCTCCCCTCCCCTCCCCTCCCCTCCCTTCCCTTTACAAATCTTTGATTTTCGGAGATCTTGGATTTATCTCTACCCACAAAGGTGGTGTTTCTCTTGCTCAAAACCCTAAATAATTCCTCAAAATAATTAAAAATGTCTCCTTCATCATCTCTCTCTCTCTCTCTCTCTCTTGTAATGGCATTTCTGTGTGGAGGACCCCTTTCGAGTGGTTGAACAAGCAAAAACATTTTGTTTCTCCTGTTGCATGCATATCCTTATCTCATTTAATTTTCTCATCATAGCATTAAAGTGGAGTATTGGGGCCCAAACATAACCAACTATACTTGTTACCTCACGGGGGCCATGGTACCAAAATGCACATGGCAGGCGTCCAATCATGTGATTTGAGCTGCTGCTTCATGATGGAAAGCTCAGGTGGGGGGGTTTGGTTTAATTACACATCATGGTTTGTGACACTGCAGAATGATATCGAGTGATACCCATAAAAGTGAACCAGAAATTTTGGATGGCGATGATACAGTCGGCTCGACCAAGCCAATCTATATACCTCCAAGTCAATCACGAGATGAGTGAAACTTATAATTTATACAAAGAATGTACATTGTTTTCAGAATGAAAAGTGTCAAGTTTAATATGACTCAAGTGGTGGTTTTTTGAACAGTGGGTTGGGGCTGTTTGTGGCTGCTATGAATAGTCATGTCCATGGAAAGTAACCATTCACGGCCCTGTTGCTTAGGGTCCATCCCATGTTGGAGGTTTCAGCCTCTTTCATGTGGAACTAACAGACAACGCATTGTGCAGGGCACTTTCATGGGTTCCTAACCATCAACATATGGACAAATTCCACATGCTTTTTGTGGATGTGTTTCAAGTTTGATCAACTCTCTCCCAGAGAGGGTCTTTGTAGCTTTTAGGATCACTGGATATGGTCCTCCTTATGCAAATTGAAAGCAAAAAAATTGATGGAACCATATGTCCTTCTTAGAATTCACAATGATTACTCCAATGATAATTCAAATGATAATAGAAACGAGTTATAAATTTAGACGTTCTCCTGAATACCCTAATCCCGGTGTGAATGATCTGTTTTTAAACGGACCAAAGAGGAGATTAATCGAGGTATATATAAACTGGTCTAAATACTCCTGACCATTAAACCAAAAAAAAAAAAATCGCAATAATAAGAGTCTCCTGCATTAAGAGAGCAAACCTTGTTGTAGCAGCAAAGTTATTTCATTTTGATTAGGACGAGTTCAATTCACGAAAAAAGCTTCTAGTTTGCTTATATTTGACTTCTCCTAGACTCTACAGTGACGAAAACCTTCTATGTTGCACTATTTTATTTTTTTTTTTTAAAAAGAAAAAACTGGAACCATACATTTTTTATTAATCAGATTGAAGAAATATTTGCCTTTTGTGGCTCAAATTGCCAATGCTGGTCAGAGGCATAAAAACATCAAAAGCTTATATACAAGTTAGATAGTTGATATGGACCTTTCTTTGCATGTTGAGGCTCAAATTGGCAATGATCAAGTTTATCTTGCATATGCATTGCTGCTCTCATCTCTGTTTAGGGGGAATGTTGAGGCTTTCAACTTAGATTGTTGAAGAGAGAGAGAGAGAGAGAGAGAGATGTCAATTTTACCTCTTAATATGAATAGGATATGGCATGAACAAAAAAAAAATGACAGAACCAATCATACGGATAGTAAATGGAAAGGGTTAATTACAGACACCAACAATAGAGATGGATACTATCATACTTTTTTGTACTGTATGACTTATTTTAGAGGAATAAAAATTCATTAACATGAATATTTACTCAATCTAGTCTCAAACCAAAAAAATGTGACTTTAGATGACACGATATGATGATGATATAGCACAACTCGACTGACGGTTCGTAGAGAAAACGATAAATATTGGTAATAGTAAGTAAATTTTTGAAGGGTCAAGTAAATTATTTAACTCTACCTTCTTATTATTCTCACACAGAAGAGACAAATTTGAAGATTTGGTAATAGAAGTGTAATTGATGCTAGGAAATGATGTTTTCAAATGTTCCATTTTTCTTTTCAAAAATCAAAGGAAGAAAGTTCCATCCGAGGCATCTTTTTTCTTCTCTTTTGTACTGCTTTTCCACTGGTCAATTCTCATTTTCTCTTTGGAAAAACCATTAATATACGGGGTTTTCTTTTTGTTAACGAGCAACCTCTCTAAGATATGGATACATTATATTCATTTTTACGAGAATAAATTTTAAATGCTTGCAATTATTCACAAATTATAGATATCTATTAAGTTCAGAAAACACTAACGAGAGTCGAATTCATAACGTCTGAGTCCATGGATTATGACGTTTTTCTTTAGCTTGGAAACAAATGTCTCCAAGATTAAGATTATGATATATGAATTAGGAGGGACTGCGATGTCTGGGGCTTGCATGTGCTCCCAACATGGTAGGCCCTTAATCAAGTTCTCCCCCGGCGGAGTGATAATCGGGACAAAAAGAAATATTATTGAATGAATATTGAGGCAAGAAACGACTTGTCAAAATTCTAAACGTTCGAAATATTGAAGTCAAAGTCTTCTTATTTTACTGAGATGACTAAAAACAGGAAATTGTGACCTAATCTATTACAATAAAAATAGATATCGCCAAGTGTTTAGAAAAGCAAACAAATTGATTTTCGAGTTTTATGTCATAAATTACACATATTTTAAACCGTTCCTAAAACGTTAGAGTCGCTTNTTTTCAGTAGTTGAACTGATATTCCAATTATTTTTCCTTTTTACCTTCACTGACTGAGAAGTGTAAAATTGTTGTTGTATCTTGGTCATTTCTATAATCTCTCTCTCTCTCTCTCTCTCTCTCTCTCAGCGGTGTGAAGGGTCTTACTTTGCTTACTGTTTAAAGTGGCACGAAAGCTTTTTATATTGAAATACTCTTAACAGGTACTGATCCAAATGTTTCTCCCAACCTATTTATCCTTAGTTTCCAAGTACAGTTAGGGAGGACAGGTTTCGGCACAGTGGTAAAGTTTGTAACTTGAGTGTTACAAATTTGGGTTCTGGAAATAATCTCTGGGCATGAATGGATAAGTTTATTCAAATCACTAAATGCAAGAATTTCTCAGGTAAAAACAAAATGGATTTGTTTGTCTTTAGACGCCATTTTTAAACCACATTCATAGCCTGGGCATGT